GGAGTACAATATATGCAATATTATTTCTATCACCCCCTATTACTCTCCCTATTATACTCCTATAATAATCCCTTCCATAATTATAACCACTTTAATAAGCTATTAATGGACAAAGGTTGCATGAACGCACGAATTATAGATCACTAAGAACTCCTAAGTGACCCCAGCCAGGATTCGAACCCATGCCGCTTAGGACTACCCCCTAAACGTACACAGTATTATCCCACTGTTACGCTCGACAGGTCGATGGTGTGGCCACTTACACGTTATTTAAGATTACCAGTTTAGGCAGCTATGGGAAAAGGGGTTTTCTGCTATCTTAATCCATCGCTTTGCACGCCCGTGAATGTACATTCCTAACCTGGCGTGTGGTCACATTATTAATGTTTTCGGTGGCCAAGGAGCGGCCACTGAGATTGGGTATCTGATTGTGATTGGGTATCTGATTGTGATTGGGTACCTGATTGTGATTGGGTATCTGATTGTGATTGGGTATCTGATTGTGATTGGGTACCTGGTTCTTAAACGAATGGAGGGGTCATATTCCAGGGGAAAACTAGTGAGTAAGGGATGAGAAAGCTCTCAGCCATGAGCTAATGGGATGAGAAAGCTCTCAGCCTGCTAACAGGAGTCAGCAGTCGTCTGTTCCTGTACTCACCTATGTAAATCAACCAAAAATCTCTCACGTATCATCAGCCACAATGTCTATCAAAAATTTTTCTGCGTCGTCGATGTTTTTTTCATAAAATCACAATGTGTTCCTGTGGCTGTGTTAGGAGACTAGTTACATATAGCCAGTTTCATTTTATGCAGGATTCCCTTTGCAATGCAGCCTCCACCACAAACGTTGATTAGCACGAGCCGGACAACACGAGAGCCGGATGATGTCTGGCATGAAGAATGCATTATATCACAAATAATCCACACCTTGCTCTCCAGAATCCACAACAGGTAAATGTATATAATTACACAGTGATTTGTATATACACCACGTCTCAGTCTATATAAACTGAGAGTTTATTTAATGGTGGACTATGACCCGGGCTAAAGTGCAATTGCTGACTGGTCAGTAACTACTGGAAAGGTAATAATGATAACGCCCTAAAGATCAATAGCCCTTACACCAAACCAACAGACAATGACTAGCTGCTGAAGTAAGAGTGACCAAAATAAAAAAGTGTCTCTCGACCATGTTACGCACGTTCCTGTGACAGGTAATAACTCACGTGACAGGAAAGTGCATACATTCGACATTCTGTCAGTCGTGTACAAATTCTTCGTACCATCGACACAAGTGCTTGCTGGAGGGGCCCCAGCAAGACGTCGTGTCTCAAACGACAACAGAGGAGACGACACAAAAGACTCGGAGTTGCCATAGTGAAGATAGTAAAACAGCTCCAGAGACACAGCTGTGAGAAAAAATTAGATACAAGTGCACTTCCAACAGAGGAAGAAGCGAAGACGCAACAAAAGAAAACAAGACAAGAAGAACGAGACTTGATGATGCAACAGAGAAGAATAACAATACAATAGACACATTGAAAGATTTAGGAAGTATTGCAAGGATACATAATAGGCCAACAGACGCAAAAGAAAGAAAAGGCACAGCACAGACACGTAACAAAAAGGGAGGAGACTATTCCCACCAAACACACACCGAAACTACGACGTTGGTGCAACGTTCGAGCAAGTTTTAACACCTCCTAACCAGTTATAACAACCAATATAGCAAGTTGTAACAACGTTCTAATACGTCATAAACACGTTAAGCTAAGATGTAACAACTTTATTTCAAGTTGTAACAAGCGGAAAATAGAGACAGTTTCGGTTTGTGTTTCCAGGGTTATTACTGCAGGGGAGGAGAGACAACACAGGAGGGAGCACAACAGGGGGAAACAGACCCAATAGAAGAGGCACAGCTGAAGAAAAGACGACAAAGAACTTGCAAGATCGGAAGAACCAGGACAATGGTGAAGCCACAATAATGTGATGGAACCAAGAGGGAGGTACTCCCTGGAGGGGCTACAGAGGGTGGAGGGAAGAGGGATGGAGAAAGGAGGGTAGAGATGGAGAAGTGGTGATGGAGAGAGAGAGAAAACCCCATAAGGGAGTCCCTCAAACAAAGTGTTGCCATCTGTGGCACTCAAGATGATGCTCCCTTTCTTAACTACAAGCTTCTGCCTTTCTTAACTACCAGTTACTTCCGTCTCTGACCACCACAAGAACAAGTCGGGGGGTCAGAGGTCAAACGCCTCGTTAGTGCACCATTAGAGTGAACCTCGTTACCTCTCCCTTGGCCGGGTCGTTAGTGGCTGTGGTTGTTGGTATGGTTGTGACTTAAGGGTTAGTTGTGACTTGGGTTGGGGTTGTTGTCGTGGTTGCTGAGGGGTTGTGGTTGTTTGGTGTAGTTGTGGCTGATGGTGTGGTCATTAATGAGGTTGTAGATAGGAGTTTGGTGGGGTTGTACCTGTAGGTGTGGTTATGTATCTGGATATTCTCGTGTCCTTGTGCTAGGGGTTGTGGTTAGACCTTATGGGGGTTGTAATTGTGGTTAGGGCTTATGTAGTTGTAGTTATAGAGCTTAGTAGTTGTGGTTAGAGTTTATGTGCTGGTGGTTTTGGTTAGATTGTATGTGGTTGTAGTTGTGGTTATAACTTATGTGACTGTGGGTTTCGTAAGAACTAATAAGGTTGTGGTTGTGGTAAGAGGTTATGTGGTTGTGGATTTGGTTAGAGCTTGTGTAGTGTGGTTGTGTTGTGTGGTTGTGTAGTGTGGTTGTGGTTAGTGCTGATGGTTTTGGATAGAGCTTATGTGAGTGCGGTTGTGAATTGAGAAGCTCACAATTTTAGTTGTAGTTTAATTCAAAGTTGTAAGTACCGAAGCTATGATGGTGTTTGGTTGGTACAATGTCAGTCGTCGTGATTGTTTGGAACAATATAAGCGGTCGTGATTGTGACTGGAACAATGCCAGATTTTGGTTAGAACAATATCAATTAAGATAATGAGAAAGTTATGTTAAAAATTATGAGGAAGTTATGATAAAATTATGAGCAGTTATGATAAAATTATTAGAAAACTATTCTTAAATCCAATTTTAGATGTAGTTACGTTAAAAGTGTGAGAATGTTATAATATAATTCGTAGAATTTCGTAAAAAATATAACTCCCGTCAAAATTTCGAGAAAATCATGCTAAAAGTATAAAAAAAATAAGTTACAATCGCCAGGTAGTTTCAGTAAGGTCACTATAAACGCCAGAACAATCGGTAATATCCACAATCTAGCTGTAAGTGATCCCAGCTAACTAATAATCGGATTCAGATAATGAGTATTGAGCTTGTACATGTCAACACCTGATACCATTATATAGCCAGTAATACCAATTGAAAGGTCACAGCTGATTGCAGCCAAATCCCTTTATGCAGGCGATGAGTCACAATAACGTGGCTGAAGTATGTTGACCAGACCACACACTAGAAATTGAAGGGACGACGACGTTTCGGTCCGTCCTGGACCATTCTCACAATCGACTTGAGAATGGTGCAGGACGGACCGAAACGTCGTCGTCCCTTCAATTTCTAGTGTGTGGTCTGGTCAAAATCCCTTTATATTGGGAGGTCTCACCTCCACCCGACCAACAAACCGACCGTGGAGGATAGCTATTTGGTAAACAGTCTACACAAAATAAATGTAAAAAAAAATTGGTGTAAACTGAATAAACTGAAATCACTGAATAAACTGAAATCACTGAATAACTTAGAGACATTTATGAAAAAAAGGGGCTTTTGATTTTGAGTTTAAGTGTCTAAGGGCTGTGTAAGGACTGTCTGTTAGGTGTCTAAGGGCTGTCTAAGGACTGTCCGTTAAGTGTCTAAGGGCTGTCTAAGGACTGTCTGTTAGGTGTCTAAGGGCTGTCTAAGGACTGTCTGTTAGGTGTCTAAGAGCTGTCTAAGGACTGTCCGTTAAGTGTCTAAAGTCTGTCTAAGAAGGGTCAGTTAAGTGTCTAAGGACCGTCTAAGGACTGTCCGTTAAGTGTCTAAAGTCTGTCTAAGAAGGGTCAGTTAAGTGTCTAAGGACTGTCTAAGGACTGTCCGTTAAGTGTCTAAAGTCTGTCTAAGAAGGGTCAGTTAAGTGTCTAAGGACTGTCTAAGGACTGCTAAGTGTCTAACGGCTATCTAAGGACAGTTAAGTGTCTAACGGCTATCTAAGGACAGTTAAGTGTCTAACGGCTGTCTAAGGACAGTTAAGTGTCTAACGGCTGTCTAAGGACAGTTAAGTGTCTAACGGCTGTCTAAGGACTGTCTATTAAGTGTCTAAGGACCAGCACACTGTACCATGAAGGGTTGACTGTAAATTGACTGAACAGTTGAGTACCAATTTGGGGCCCAAGAACCGTAAAGATGATGTCCAGCATTACACCGGGAAAAGGTATTTTCCTTCCAGATGCTAAGGTGATGTCCAGCATTACACCGGGTAAAGGTATTTTCCTTCCAGATGCACATGCTTAATGTTGCCTGAATTACACAGCTGTAGAGAGCATTTTTCCCTCCTGACATACATGCAGAAGTCATTTTCACTTACACACCTGCAAAGGGAGCAGTTTCATCAATTACACATCTGCAAAGGGAGCAGTTTCATCAATTACACATCTGCAAAGGGAGCAGTTTCATCAATTACACACCTGCAAAGGGAGCAGTTTCACCAATTACACACCTGCAAAGGGAGCAGTTTCACCAATTACACACCTGCAAAAGGAGCAGTTTCATCAATTACACTTCTGCAAAGGGAGCAGTTTCATCAATTACACACCTGCAAAGGGAGCAGTTTCATCAATTGCACAGCTGCAAAGGGAGCAGTTTCATCAATTAAACACCTGCAAAGGGAGCAGTTTCATCAATTACACACCTGCAAAAGGAGCAGTTTCATCAATTACACACCTGCAAAGGGAGCAGTTTCATTAATTACACACCTGCAAAGGGAGCAGTTTCGTCAATTACACACCTGCAAAGGGATATTTTCCTTCCTGTCTCACCTGCAGGAGAAACTTCCCCTCACAGCTGCTGCTACAGCTGACCATTCAGGGTGACCTGGCGCCTCACCCTAGCCTCGAACCATTTACCTGAGGAGAGACAACAGTGATTTTAGTAAACCTGTAAACTACTGTATACCTTGAGGGGGTAATATATATAGGCCGGGTCAGTAAACTCACCGTAACTACAGCGTTGTTGCAAATGAGCAAAAACCCACTGTGACTTGTATGCAGGCTTGCAGTGACCGGGGTACAGTGATATTACAGGTGGAACAAGTCACAGCAAGAATACAGAGGCAGGTTAATACATATTAAATATGTGAATTGCAATAATCAATGATACATAGATTTTTTTCCCATGATTTTTAAGTATCAGTAATATATTGAATTTTTTCATTCATTTTTTTCGTCTGTTTTAATATTTCAATGTTTACGAGAAAGAAATGATGAGTTTTCTCATTATTAAATAATTAACATTTTCACATTAGTTTCGGCTGATACTGGTTATCAGATGAATAACAATTTTGTTATGACGTTGGTACTCATCGAAGAATTTAATGAAAATACTGTGAATTGCAGAGGATGCAAAACTGATCCCCACTTCCTTGCAATAATATGATCAGGGAACGATTCCCGAGATTGTAAGTCATATCTAAAGGTTCAAATTAATTGACCTGATGCCAACTCTACTCTTGGATAGGGGGGCCAACTCTACTCTTTTTAAGATAATTATGTTATCTTACCCTATGTCTTGGTATCTATGAAGGTACTATTGGTCATACAATTCCAGGTATCCATGGGTGAGATGTGACAGTGGCATCACTGGCCAATGAGTTCACAAGGAGAATTCTTGCATATGTAGTAGAACATGTACACGTATCACAATAATATATACCGGATTGGGATGCTTTCATGTCTATATGTGTCCATGGGATGCTTGGTGATTCGCGTGCTCCTTCCAATCCTACAGCTTCCGTATCTTCTCACCGTGGGATGCTGGCTGGGAAGTGATGTACGTTTCAATAAGTTCAAAAAAATATAGTGACGCGGGTATGAAATTTCCGTTCACGGTCTTAATAAAGTTTGAGACTGTGAGACATAAGATAATAAAGTGCTGTGCACACATTGAAACACGTCTCAGTTCGACTTTACAAGGGTCGAGGACGGCTCGAAACGTAATTACTTTGCTTACAGTTCATACCTGCGGGTGGAGATGTTTATTTAGAACATACTAAAAGTGGTATCCGGCGGTGCCCGGGACAGTATATCTCTACCTTCCCTTTTGAACATCTCTTCCCCTATCTTCATCTCTCCATCAATATTCCCCTCTAACTCTATCGTATCCACTCTCCTCCTCCTTCTCTCCCTCTCAGTCTCCCCATATCTCTCTGTTCTCAGAAAATATTATCGACACCTGAAAACCAATAAGAAGTCTGCGGAAAGCCAATCTCCAAATCCAGACTTAATGAAAAATCACAGAAAATCTCAATACATACAAATACTTAGTCAAAGGTGACACTGGGGCCGACAGGTGTCATATATGACTGGCCTATGACGCTCCCACACCACCCATGTATCATTGTACAGTGTGTGGTGAGGCTAGCCCTTAGCGTCTGGCCTCGAACAATACCTGAGGACCGGTTGCACACGAGACAGGTGCAACAAACTCGCTAATTATCTACAGACAGGTGCTCTGAACGCCGCTGAACTCAGCTGTTATCAACGACATCATGGCCAAGGTTTCTGTAAAGCAGGTTTACTCTAGCAAGGTATTGTTATGTATAATACCCGGATTATACTTAAGCTCAGCACTAAGTCCCTCTTGTGTAATGTATGTATGAATCAACCGCAGTCAGGGGTAGCACTGCAGATTTGTAAATTATGGTGTTGTTGGAGAAATGTGTGTGTGTGTGTGCGTGTGTGTGTGTGTGTGTGTGTGTGTGTGTGTGTATGTGTGTGTGTGTATGTGTGTGTGTGTATGTGTGTGTGTGTGTGTGTATGTGTGTGTGTGTGTGTGTGTGTGTGTATGTGTGTGTGTGTGTGTGTGTGTGTGTGTGTGTGTGTGTGTGTGTGTGTGTGTGTGTATGTGTGTGTGTGTATGTGTGTGTGTGTATGTGTGTGTGTGTGTGTGTGTGTATGTGTGTGTGTGTTTGTGTGTGTGTGTGTGTGTGTGTGTGTGTGTGTGTGTGTGTATGTGTGTGTGTGTATGTGTGTGTGTGTATGTGTGTGTGTGTGTGTGTGTGTGTGTGTGTGTGTGTGTGTGTGTGTGTGTGTGTGTGTGTGTATGTATGTGTGTGTGTGTATGTGTGTGTGTATGTGTGTGTGTGTGTGTGTGTGTGTATGTGTGTGTGTGTGTGTGTGTGTGTGTGTGTGTGTGTGTGTGTGTGTGTGTGTGTGTGTGTGTGTGTGTATGTGTGTGTGTGTGTGTGTGTGTGTGTGTGTGTGTGTGTGTGTGTGTGTGTGTGTGTGTGTGTGTGTGTGTGTGTGTGTGTGTGTGTGTGTGTGTGTGTGTGTGTATGTGTGTGTGTGTGTATGTGTGTGTGTGTGTGTGTGTGTGTGTGTGTGTGTGTGTGTGTGTGTGTGTGTGTGTGTGTGTGTGTGTGTGTGTGTGTGTGTGTGTGTGTGTGTGTGTGTGTGTGCACCCACCACATCCCCTGTTTATGAATGAAAATGGTTTATACACGACTCCCAACTGATGACCTCCGAACACTTTCGAAATGAGTGCTTCACTGACGACTTTTAAACGAATCACAACGCTGTAAATGTTCCACCCACGTACTATAAACACAAATAATCACCAACAGAACCTAAACACCTAACTTAACCTAACCAGTGCCTAAATATACACAATATGCTAATATGTCTCTAGAGATGTTCTAGGCCATCTTGTAATGTTTTCCAATCATTCTCAGCTCTGATTCGCCCCTTCAGCTGAGCATCGTTTGCAAACATGGATAAGAATGAGCTTACTCCTTCTCATAGATCGTCTACGTATATTAGGAACAGGGTAGGCCTTAGTACCAACCCATGATGGATTCCACTCCATATTTCTCCCCATTCTGATAGCTTTTTACATTCCTCCTTCTTGTTTGGTATTCCTTTACTCACTGTAGTACATTTCGCTTGTCACGAACAGTGTCGAAGGCTTTCTGCCAATCCAGGAAAATGCAGTCTGCCCCAGCCCTCTCTATCTTGTTCGTCATAGAATATTTATAAGTTGGTCAAGCAAGATTTTCCTTTACTAATATATATTGATGCTTGGAAGCAAGATTTTTATGTTATAAATTATCGATCAGACTTCTTTTGTTTAGTGTAATAACTTACAAAGAATACTTGTGTGCACTCACTTAATAATACTCACCTAATTATGCTTTTGGGGAATGAAATTTGGCTCTTTGGTTCCGCCTCTCAACCGTCAATCAACTGGTATACAGATTCCTGAGCCTACTGGGCTCTGTCATATTTACATTTGAAGCTGTGTATGGAGTCTGCTTCTACCACATCACTGCCTAATACATTTCAACTGTTAACTACTCTGACACTGAAAATTCTTTCTAATGTCTCTGTGGCTCATTTGGGTACTTAGTTTCTACCTGTGTCCCCGTGATCGTGAACTACCCGTGTTAAATAATGTCTTCATCCACTCTATCAATTCCCTACCCAACCACTTGAGCTGGACGGTAGAGCGACGGTCTCGCTTCATGCAGGTCGGCGTTCAACCCCCGACCGTCCAGGTGGTTTGGCACCATTCCTATCCTCCCGTCTCATCCCAAATCCTTATCCTAATCCCTTCCAAGTACTATATAGTCGTAATGGCTTGATGCTTTACCCTGAAAATTCCCTCCCTCCTCTCCCTCTATCAATTCCCTTGAAAATGTTATACATCTTCTCTTACTCTTCTCACTTTGAAAGTTTTTTTTATCTATTTTGTCAAAATTCCCTTAGAATTTGATGAGGCTCTGGTGTCCTCCCGTGTGTGGTGAAGTGCTCCTCATGTTTCTTGCACTGTAGGAGTGGCCTGGCAACAGAGTCAAGAATAGATCTGAAATTGGTTGCTTATAGAGCTAGCCAGGGTTGTTTGTCTAACTTCCTGAATGCTGACCCCCACATTGGCTAATTTCACAACAGCTGCTGACGTTATTCGTCCGATAGTCTAATGACTACTGACAATTTGGATGCAATTAACGCAACTCTCTCCCTTCTCTGATTTTTTTGGCCATCATGTCGTCAAACTGAAAATAATTTGTCAAGTGCAATTTTCGTTTCGCAAAAAAAAAATAAATAAATAATGTATTGCGAGGAAATTAACCTGATCTAAGGGTTTCAGGACTTTTGCGTCAGTCTGCAGTAACTTGCAAGCGATGTTAGTTAATGATACTGGTCTCAAATTCATTGTTTTCCAGCATTCTGATAACATCTTTATTTTTAGCTTGGAGCTATGTGGTATCAACGATACAGATGAAACATTATATCTTCTCAATGTTTCATCTGCATCATTTTGCATCTACACTGAGATCACATGTGATGGGGTTATATATGCTGCGTTGATTTTGTGATTTGCTTAATGTAGGGATCATAAGGCCTGTCAATATTGAGAGGGCTACTAACACCACCACATAAGATTACTGACCAACCAGCAGACAAGTAGATATACTATATTCATGATCATAGTCCAAGATGAAAGTAAACTCTCCAATAAACACACAAAATAACATGGGGTATACCTACCTTTCTATATATATATATATATATATATATATATATATATATATATATATATATATATATATATATATATATATATATATATATATATATATATATATATATATATATATATATATATATATATATATATATATATATATATTTGTGTGTATATTTTTTCCAGCTCAGAGTTTTCAGTATGATCAAATCTAACACTGAACGTGCCTCATCGACACGTGTGTATGAATCCATACCTACAATTCACCCAAAAAACATATTAGCATATTTAACAGTGCTCATACATAGCATACACGACTCCATGTATTCCTGTCGCAAGTCAATTTGGCGATGTGATTTCGCACGTATGGCCTAAAATGCCGAGC